CCCCCCCCCCTCATTCCCAAGGGACTCCCTCTCAGGTTATTTTAGGGTGCGTTCCTTTGGGTGATCTGGATCAGGATCATTGATCAGGGTTTTAAGCCATTCATATGAGACCTCACGTCCTCTATAACAAACTGAGGATCGCTGTCGAGCTTAAACGTTATTATAGAGGGTCTTACATCTGATAAAACTTAAACTTCGATTTCAGAGGGATTGTTAATTTTAATTTTTAACCGGCAATACGAAATCCACCTGGTAGAGAACTGGACGCCATATCTAAAAATAACGTGAGAAGAATTACCCAGAGAATAAGGTCTAAAAGGGATTAACGCTCGTTAGTTAACCTCATGCTCAATTAAGAAAGGCTATCTCCCTATTATGGCAGAACTTGACTCTATAATTTTTACCAATGTTGACCTTTGCCCAACATTACTGTGAAAATGCATTGCTCTATCAAGGCCTTTATGAAGGGATTAACTCTCTTAAGTTAATCTTTTTAAATTGACCTTCAGCCTTTCCTGGTACTATTTCCTTATCCTGGTTCTAGCTTCTGAATAATCTCCAACCAATTTTCGCCTTTGCATACTGATTAGCGTAAAGATGTATAACTCTGTCAACTGTTGGGAGTGATATAAGTGGAGAGTTTAACAAAAGATTGAAATGACTGAAACACCTGTTTAACCTAACCTAAATCAAGAAATTATATAGCCTTAACTTACCATTTGGCGGCTGATATAAAAACTGCGGATTGAAGTGAAAACAAAAGTTGGTTAGCCGAGAAAGAACATTTAATTCTGAATTACAGTTAGACCCAGCCAAGTCGTACTCTGTTATTTCAAACTTCAAAATCATTTTAATTGGATTTGCCCCTTAATCATATACTATCAGCTATTTTGAACTCCCGCCATTTCGAACAATTTTTCGTTTCGCCTGCAAGTTCGGGGTTCAACTGTATTTTAATGCATTGATTGTAAACTAAAATCTAATAAATATTGTAACAACACTCCTAAGTTAAGGGAGAAATATGATGTAATATATGAAATAGGTAAGAGAAATTCAAAGCACATCTGAATAAACCTGGTAAAATTACGTGCTCGCCGCAATTTGTTGGGTAAAACGGAGAAAGAAAGAAAGAATAAAGAACCCGCTCGCAGGCTAACTAAATTGTTTCAGAATTATTTCAGTAAGGATCTGTATTTCTCCCGAGCAGCAAACTAGGTAATTTTTCTCTCAAGCTAAACACGGTTACATGTCCATATTGTAGTTAATTTCTCCTTCCTGGTTTTCTTCCTGGCGTCTCCCACTAACTGCTCCTTAAATAATCTTTAGAGTAATTAAAAGGATAATAAAGACAAGACACCATGAAAGTGTTTTTATAGCGTGAATTCTTACCGGGGAACTGTATACAGATGCGAAGCATACGATCATCAAGACAAGCAATGTCTTGAACATGTCGGTCCTGGTCTGTCAGAATGCTAAAAATAATATATATGAATGCCACGGTCAGTTGTCTCTGAACAGGAAGAAGCAAGAAAGCAAGAAAGCAAGAAAGCAAGCGAACAACCTAGGGTTATTTGACGACCTTTTAAAATTAATCATGGTAAGTGTTCGATTAATCACACATCATTTTTATTCGTTAAATCACTGATATGATGGTCGGTTCCAGTCAAGTGGCCAAAAAAACATAAAATAAAAAAACGTTGACAGGTTAAAGATACCAAATCACAAATACAATTTTACGAAATTACAATCATGCCAAGGGGCAGGCCGTATTGTCGAATAAGGCGATTTTTTCTCGTACATATGGAAGTAGTATATCATTTCTGTATTACTTGAATTTTAATGTTGTGAATATGATTGTACGTTTAACGAAAATCTATAGTCTTCAAAAGTGTCCAGGAAATGATTTGAAAAAGGTTGGACTTTTCTAGACCAGAATTACAATTTTAGGAACTTACAATCATGCCTCGTTCAGAAGAAGTTACTTAGAACCTAACCTTTTGATGGACGGTTTAATATTCGGCGAATTACAAACCTTTAGAAAGACGTGATACTCTATCGAATTATATTGAAAAACGGTTTCCTAGAGAATCATTTTTCGTGCTGATTCTGATCTTCCCCTTAATGACTGCTCCCTCGAGAAATAGTGAGTTTTGTTTCACCTCGATCTCGATGTTCACCGCGGCGAAGGAGAACAGGACTTAGTTGAATCGTGTTATTTAACACCTCATGTTTCTATGGACGGTCTCCGGCGGATTCCAAAAGTTTTAAAAGAAATGAAACCTTTTGAATGATATTGAAAAAAAAAAAAACGAAAATCGTTTACCTACTTTACAACTGATGCTTAAAGTGAGTCTCCGTCAAGGAACAGTTGTCACTGCAAAGGCTATTATTACTGACTGTTGAAGTTTGCGAAGCGTTCGTATCATAAATTCGCATTCTGTGCTCGTGGTTAATTAAATTTGGCAGCTCCAAACAGCTGAGAACATATTGTATTGTTTGATAGCGATGAAAATGTTTTATACTTTTTTTATGGCGCCTTATAATTGGTCTTTCGCAGCCTGGGAGTTGCGTTGTGGGTCGCAAGATTTATTTTTACCCATAATTTTCGAAAATTTTATGTTGAAGTAGAATTAAAGTTATATCTCTTTATTTCACCTAACGGGTAAATACGACTTGCTAATGAACTTATTCAACTCGATAAATGAGATTTGTCAACTCCGTATTCGCTATATTTTTGACTTCATTTTTTAATTCTTTATTGAAAGAAAGAATGAACAATCAAACGAAAGAATGAGCGAAAAAACGAACGAAGAAATAAATCATATTCTCATTCTAATTTAGCTCACACTTCACAATCGACGCCTTTCTCCTTAAATACATCTGAACAAGGCCTTGATTCAGAGAATCAATTTTATTGCTGCTTGTCTGATCTTCTTCTAGACATAGCATGCTATAACATTTCAGGTACGACTTTCCCTTTTTGAAATAATATCGAGTCGAGATGCCTTATACATTGTTTGTAAACACATGTTCTGTTGCAAGCGATGATTATTAAAACGTTCCCAGATCATTTGTGACGTGTGTAAAATCCTATTAGCTAAGAAAACAAATTTACGTTTTGGTGACAAAGGAGGCGAATTTCCCTCCGCCACTTAAGAATAAATCAAAATGTTATGAATTTCTTTTTAAAAAAACCCTCCTGAGTTACTTACATGTTTTTATCATATGCTTTCACTGTTGCTATACAGCAACCAGTAATGAGTGGAAATTGAGCAGTGCTTCTATGTTTTCTAACAAATCTTGAGTGGTAAATATCTAATAAGCTAAGAGTTGAGTGGTTGAAGGACTTATCCTCCTATACTCAACCATGACCTTACCATTTCGTATGCCCTTTTCGGTCAGAAACAAAATCTTGAGAGAAGAAGAAAAAGAAATCTATGGACATTTCAATGTTGCGAATCAACTGTACGTTTAACGAAAATTCTATAGCCTTCGAGCGTTTTTAGGAATGTTTCATTGTTTAGCTCTTATTAACCGAGCTGGAGGTCTGTATGGGAGAATCTTGACCGAGGTCGTGAGTACAGACCGAACGCAGTGAGGTCTGCTCACACGACCGAGGTCAAGACTCTCCCATACAGACCGACTTAGCTCGGTTAATAAGATGTTTATCATATGGCAAAGAAGAAAACTTCAATTCGTTTAATGTAACTGGTTTGCTGACATTTCGCTTGCGAACGACGATGAGCTTAACTTAAACCTGCCGAAATTTGCTCGTCCTCTTTACTTTTTTTTTTTGTCATCGGGCTTTTCGGCACTTCCATAAATGATTGAGAAGAATAAAAAAAAAGATGGTGACCATTTTTGTATTTCAGTTTGCCACTTTTTCAACGCAAAATGAAACCGGTCTAGATGCAGGTCTAGATGGGAAAATCTAGACCGCGGTCAATATCGATTTCAGCCAATCAAATTCGTGAATCCGGTAGTTCCCAGGCCTTGTGAGACACAGCTATATAATAAACTTTCATATCAACAAAAAATAGCTACTTAGATCTGATGAAAGCAAAATCCAAAGAGTTTTACTGGTTCTCGGCGGACTTTTCTAGATCACAAACGCAAGTTATATTTTACTAAATTGCAATATGCCACGTGTTGGCGCTATTGTCGGAAAAGACGAAATTTTCTTGTACAGAATATCTGATATTACTTAGAATCGTTTTCCGGCGAATTACAAACCTTTTAAAAGAAATGAAACCATATACAATGATATCGCAAAACGGTTGCCTACATTTCAACTCACCAGTTTTTGATACTTAAAGTGTGTCAACTTCAAGGACCAGTGCTCAACAAAGGTTATGGACTGACTTTGGAAGAATACGAAGTAAAACATTCTTATCATAAATTCAAATTCCGTGCTCGTGGTTAATATGTTTGGCAGGTTAAAGCAGCTGAGTACAGTGTAACCCAGCCCTAGGTCACCTCATTATTACAGCCATTTTCGTCCTGGATATAAGAATATATGTTATAAGAAAACCCTGTTATTGCGGTCGCAATAAAATACGGCTAACGGCCTCATTTTGAAATGTCAAGCTGTGTTATCCTGTACAATTTTACTTCTTTCATACGGCCACTCGAACCAAATACGCATTCATAATTGACCGAACAAAACGAATATATAAAAACAATATTGAACGATGTTCTTGTTCTTTTTAAAGCACCCGTAACATCTCATGTAATCGACCTCTGTTGTTAACTTTAAGAGGTAACTTAAAAAATAGACCTGTCATGAAATTTGACCCTACCCAGTTAATTCATGGTAAAAGTTTCATGGCCCATTGGTGACCGAATTGATAGAGTTCCATAGTAATGTACGCATAATGAGAAACACTTATTGTTGATTTAAGCTTACTGACTGTGTCCCTTTAAGTGGTAAATATACGATAAGAGTTGAGTGGTTAAAGGCTAGTCTTCCTATACTAAACCACGCCATCGTCCTATTTCGTATGTCTTTCATGGTAAGAAAGAAAACCTTGAGAATAGAAGAAAGAAAACAAATATGGGCATTTCTATGTTGCGAATATAACTCTACGATTAACGAAAATTCTGTAGTCTTCAATCGTTTTCAGGAATGTTTCATTGTACTTTCATATCAACAAAAAAATAGCTACTTAGATCTGATGAAAGCAAAAGCGAAGGTTTTTACTGGCTCTCGGCGGACTTTTCTAGATCAAAAACACAATTTGCATTTTACGAAATTACAATCATGCCACGTGTTGGTGCTATTGTCACAAAAAAAAAGAAGAAATTTCCTTATTCGGAGTACATTCAAATTCCGCGCTCTTGGTTAATGTGCTTGGCAACTTAAAGCAGGTGAGAAGATATTGTGACTTTGTGATGGAGCTGAGAATATTTTAGACTTTTTTTGAATGGCGCGTCATAATTGGCCTTCCGTGGTCTGCAAGTCATCAGAGTAGGGGATGGAGGGCCAAATCGCATTGGTGAGTGGGCCCTACATATGGGTCGTGGTTCTGGTGATTTATTATGGCGATATGCAAATCCAATAATATTTTTCAAAGGCGCGCTGTGTTTTCAGTGTAATATGTCCATAATTTTCAGATATTTCATGTTCAAATCGCTATTTAGCTCTATTTCATGAGATACAAGGGAATTTAAAGAAAGGCCTCTCAGCTTACAACTTGGTAAATATCACTCAGTCTTAATGAAGTTGTTCAACTAGCTAAATGGGACTATTTAACTGCTGTCTCTGATCTTCTTGACATAGCTTAATCGAAATTTGATCAAGTTGACACACCTTATGCATTGTTTGTTAACACCTGTTCTGTTACAAGAATTGATTATTAAAATATTCCTAGAGCTTTTGTGACGATCACGTAAAGGTTATTACCTAAAACAACAACATCTTAAAGAATGATGACACAGGAAGCTACGAGTCGGCGCTAATGGACTTAGAGTGCTCAATACCGAATCAATTTACTCACAGTTCTTTAATGGGAGAATATATTTAAAGGAGCATTGACCAATTTCTTTGCAGTGTAGAAATCACTTCGAAATTGTAGGGAACCTCAAAATAATACTTAGATAAGTTAGAAATACACCAACTTCTTCCTCCCGTTTTGCTTCGCGTAAGAAAAAAAAGAAGATAATTAGTTCTGTACAACTAGTAAGATACAGATTTGGTGACGTCAAGAGAATATGATCATAGTAATCTCTTGGTGACGTACGTTTGGAGTGCAATTTCAGGCTTTCGCATATAGCGTCATGGATACAATTAGTCCGTGCATTGATGTAACACGTTCTGGTTTTCTTTTCTTTGTGTTCTACTCGTTTCTGCCGGATACTTTTACTGCTTTTTCCAAATTTAAATCGGGGTTATATATCACTGCGGTGAAAATTCAAGAGAGCTTTCAGTTCCCACGTCCTTTTTTTAATGTTAAGTGCCAAATATATAGAGGATACCTCCGAAAAGAGAGAGAAACATTATTTTCCATGGATGTACAAATCCCCTCCTCCAAAGATTTTTTTAACAGAATGTCAAGAAATATAAATCGCCATTCTAGTAATTCTGGTCTAAGCTTGAATTTTCTGGTCATTAGTCACTGTTTAAACAAATTGATACATCTTTGCATTCACCAGCTGTTGTTCATCATGTTAGTCCATGAATATGCACTGGTATTTCTGCAAAATGTCACCAATGGGAACAGGATTGGGCAAAAAATAGGTTCGGAAATGGGATTTTGGCAAAATTTAGGCTGAGCATTAGGATTTTGTATCCTTCACCTTTCTTTCACGAACGTTAACCCGTTGACAATGATTCTTTTAATGTTATAGTTAAGCAATGCTTGTGAAGACAATATGTCGTGGAAATGCCAATACCTCAAAAACGCATACACAAGATCGAGGCATGCGACTTGTAAGCTAGATAACATCTACGACATTTTCTGGAGTACGTCTGAAGTGACTGCTCGTGCCATGGATTATAAAAAAATGTCGATAATTCATTTAACGTCTTAATTTCTGTTTTAGTTTTTAATCCTTGTAACATTTCTGACAATGTTTGTCTCCAGTTCCACAAACATCTATCCATTTGGCATTTTCTGTAAGCTCAGGGTGATGTCGTTTGGTTTTATGATCAAATGCTATTCGCATAGGAATGTATTTAGCTGTTAAGACACCATTCCTGGAGAGAGAGAGAGAGGGCGAAAATAATATTATTTATGAACTAACCAGTGCGGCCATAACAATGATTCAATACTGCGTTTTATTTAAAAGTATCCAATAACAATAGTAATAATAATGATAATGATAAT